TGCTCAACACTTACAAATTTCGCTACTCCATTTCATCCTCTTCTTGAGCACATAGTGAATAGAATAAAACAACCTCTGTAGACCTTATTCATTTCATCCCCAACCCAAGGGGCTTCGAAGGGATGAAACGAACAAGGCCTTGGTTATGTTTACCTATGCATTAGACAAAAGCAATTCCCTCTGTTTCAATTTTCTATGCCCTGTTTCCAGCTTGAAGTTGTTGTTTCGATTTGATCTCACTAGCTTTAGCAGAGACACAAAACGTCTCTAATATTAGAGGTAAGAAGTTAAGCTTGGAAGGATTTAAGAAGAAATCATGGGTGCCAAATAGCATGGTTTGCCCGCATGTGTCATGCAATTGAAGGTAACTAGGCCTACCAGAGCCTGTGGGGGTATGGCCCCCGGTATCCTCAAGACAAGACATGGGCCGCACCATCAGAGGTGGTCCGGCCCATAAGATCGAGGCGTGCACGGCAAGATTACAAGTTGTACTAAATATTGTAATAAGTACCAAATAGGATACTTTACTTGTAACCCTCCTCCTCTAGACTATATAAGGAGAGGCAGGGGTCCCCTCAGGGGACAATCCATACAGATCTACAATGGATCACCCCAGATCAATACAAATAACAGAGCACAGGACGTAGGGTTTTACGTCACATTGGCGGCCTGAACCTGTATAAATCTTGTGTCTTGTGTCTCTGTAACCATCTGGTTCCTGATTACACGCACCGTCTACCGATAATCTACCACCACGGGCACCCCCCTCGGTGGACTGCCGACCATATTTCGTCGACAGTGGCGCGCCAGGTAGGGGTCCCCTTTTAGGGGTTGTGCGTGCTGATTCCATGACGAACCAGATGGGATTTTTCTTCACCAACAACGTTAGTCGCAACTCGGGTTCTCGCGGTGACGTTCTTTACTACGACGATCAAGCCCCGGTGCCCAAACGCAACTCGCAGCAGCACTTTGGGCGTGCGGCGGCGACCCTGTGCTTTTGGCGTGTGCTGGAAGGCCGACGGATCTTGCATCGATCCGAGCACCTAGATGTCATACATGTGATTTACTTTTGATTAAAATATCCTACGATACATGTATATCTCCAGGTATATCTACATATGTCTGCGTGAATCTTGCTGGCAGGAATTCATCTACATCTTTCGACGTCGTCATCCCGCGCCGTCGTTGACTTCTGCGGTTCGGCGTCCGAAGCCGCATCCGCGGACTTTGATCGGACATGACGTGGTCATGCACCAAGTTGCCCAGATCTAATCGGGCTTGGTTCAATCATATGCAAGGCACACTGGCAAGGCGTCATCATCACGTGGTGCCTTACGGCTTACTGTGAAGCTCACGGTGGACTATTGGATCTACACCACCATGCAAGCTAGCTTTCACGTAGCTCAGACATGCAAGGGGATTGACTTGCATATACATGCATCGTTGCCTTCGCGATCGCGTGCATGGCTACTACTTGGTGCCGTTCAGCACGTACAACGCCACGGTCGTCGAAGCAATTCAAGATCAATTTTTCTACGCAACAAGTCGCCCAACCACATCGAGCCACCAAGCGAGCGCCTGAGCCATTAAGCGAGCCGACCACGTCGACCACCAGACCACGTCGACCACGTCCCGAGCGGCTCCGCCAAGCCTCGACCACCAGACCACGTCCTGAGCGGCTCCGCCGAGCTCCGACCACCAGACCACGTCCCGAGCGGCTCCGCCGAGCTCCGACCACCAGACCACGTCGCAATGATGATCGCCGCGAAGAACGGTGCTACGACAATTGCGACCACAGTCATGACGACAGGTCGAAAAACTCGAGGACCGGACAACTTCATCGTCACCGATCAGATTTCTATCAAAGATAAGTACACTTCTAATATTTATATTTAATATAATTTTTCATTACGACGTTTCTCCACAAACGTCCTCGTCATGATTATTCTTCAAATAACATTTGTGCATGTATACCATCTTAAATATAACATGCAAGCCAAACCAAGATACAACAGATCAAATTGTATATACATACGTCACGTGCATGCTTACTTGCATCTACACCGCCATGGGCATATACATACATCACGTGCAGGCTTACTTGCATCTACACCGCCGTGCAAGCTACCAAGACTTGCCTGTACACATGCATCCATGTATGAAGGCTGCGTGTTACACCTCCATATATGAAGCAGATTATATTAAGTATAAACACAAACTTCACATTAACATTGATGTTTACAAAGCACCAACTGCTTTATCACATCATGCTCATTTGCAAATGACGGCCGAGTGTCATATGCTATTTCTTCACCGCCGATTTTTCTCCATAATTTATTTTGTACATCATGTACTATCGTTCTATATATTTATATTGCAGGGATTTCAACCTACACTCGGGGACTCGTCGTTCTCACCCCACGCTGTGCTTGGGACTGTCCCGGCCACTCTTCGACCACAGTCCGGGGACTGTTCTCCTCGGCTACATGTGACTTAGACTCACATATAGTTGAGAGGCATTTATTTTCTTTGACCTTGCTACAAGGCTCATACTTCGCCTTCCAGCAAGCTCGGGGAACCTTTCAACATCATACTTTATTACACCTCACACTCCGACCGCGAGTCAAACCAGGGCCGTACAAGCCTTTCAGGATGACATGTCGGCTAAACCGGTACAACTAAACAGAACGCCAACACGTTCTAACTTAGTTACACCAACATGATATCCGAGCTTAAACACGTTTTCTACAAAAACAAACAGGCTTATGTCGATATACAGTTACGTTATTACAAGCTTACCTGAAAAGGTCCAAGTTTACAATGACACAACTACATCTTCTTCTACAGCTATAGCCTACACTATTGGCTGGTCGGGGCACGCGGCGCTTGCTGCTCGCTGGGCCTGACATCGTGCTCGGGTCTCAGGGACTCTGGCATTGATCGAGCTGAAGAAGATGGCCCCGCCGATGCCTGGCTGGTCGAGACCGCAGGTTTCGCCGGTTGGCTTGAAGATGACGGCGCTCCCAGCTGACTTGTTGATGGCGTTCCTTGTACGGGTGCTGTCGCACCTCCACACAGGTTAATATCGCCAATTATTTTCGCTGACAAGTCCAACTAGGTCATCCATAGCTCCTCGGCCTTGTCTGGATCTACCTCCTTCGGGTATCCAGCCTCCAGGCGCTTGAGGCATATGGTTTTTTGCCATACTTTTTGTGCTCGGGGACTGTTCCGACCACTCTCGTGCTCAGGACTGTCTCGACCGTCTTTGTGCTCGGGGACTTCGCGTCTCGACTACATGCGACTGGCGACTCGCATACAGTTGGGATATTTTTTCTCCGTTAGACCTTGCTACAAGGCTCATACATCTCCTTCCAGCAAGCTCGGGGACTACATCGGTACGATGCACCTGATGGTGCATGCTATATCTAATTAACAAGATTCTTTTTAGACCCTGGCACCACGTGCCTACGTCACCTATTACCAGGCTCGGGGACTAAGTGGGCACACTTCACCTTGCGGTGAATGTGCTCGCTCTGATGGATCAAACGCCTCTGATTCTACAAGGACGACGGTGTCTCTTCTCGACTCAGAGTCAAAGTGGGCACACTTCGGGGGAAATATTTTTCAAATTTTATCTTGAGCTCCTTACATCCTTCTGGCAAGCTCAAGACGACGCTACTCGAAGGATACAAGACGCTCGGGGACTAGCTGTGGGGGTATGGCCCCCGGTATCCTCAAGACAAGACATGGGCCGCACCATCAGAGGTGGTCCGGCCCATAAGATCGAGGCGTGCACGACAAGATTACAAGTTGTACTAGATATTGTAATAAGTACCAAATAGGATACTTTACTTGTAACCCTCCTCCTCCAGACTATATAAGGAGAGGCAGGGGTCCCCCTCAGGGGACAATCCATACAGATCTACAATGGATCACCCCAGATCAATACAAATAACAGAGCACAGGACGTAGGGTTTTACGTCACATTGGCGGTCTGAACCTGTATAAATCTTGTGTCTTGTGTCTCTGTAACCATCTGGTTCCTGATTACACGCACCGTCTACCGATAATCTACCACCACGGGCACCCCCTCGGTGGACTGCCGACCATATTTCGTCGACAGAGCCCCTTACACAATTTCCACTAGCTACTCTCTAACATACTTGGGACAATAAGGTGAGCGACAATCAACACAACAACTTCATATATGGTTCAAAGGCCTTTTATTACATGACGAGATTTTGTAATGTATGTATGCTCACTATTGCAAAAATAGTCTTGAATAAATCTAATGGTTGAAATTACTATAGTAAACTCTAGCTAGGTGTTAATGCATTATGAGCATATGTTGATTTGAAGAGATGAAGTATATAATTGTCCAACACTTCACATTTTCACTATTCTATTGTATGTTCCTCTTGATATGAGCACATATTCGACAGAAGCAACCGCCCCTTCCGTTATGTGTACCTATGCAGTCGACAACAGTAAGCCTTTCAGTTTTAATTTTATATGCCGTGTTTCCGGTCTGATTTTTGTGATGTTTCCATTTCATCTCACTTGCTTTAGGAGAGATACTGAAAGCCTCTGAGCTTGAACAACAAAAGAAAAGAAAAAAAGCCAAGCAGCAGAACATGGAAGAAGAAATCGTGGGTCCGAACAGCTAAGCTCGCCCAGGTGTCGCACAATCGATCTGCAGCCTTGCCAGATAACCAGCCGGGGAGCCCCTTACACAATCTCTCCACTAGCTACTAGTATCTGGCATGCATGGGACAAGTGACAGACAATCAACAGCAGCACCATCATCATCATGCATGCTTATCTTTCTCATAGTCATCAACCAAACATGTCCATGTCATCCTTCCACCACCACCCCCCTCCATCTCCAGCTTATAAATACTCCGTGACCCCTGCTCACAATCTCCACTACTCTAGCTAGGATCGATCAAGCTCTCGATCAGATCGAGTGAGCCATCAGCAGGGAGTTTGTGTGTCCAGCCATGGCTGCCCATGTGGACCCGCTGGTGGTGGGGATGGTGATCGGCGACGTGGTGGACCTGTTCGTACGGACGGTGGCCATGTCGGTGCGCTTCGGCACCAAGGACCTCACCAACGGCTGCGAGATCAAGCCATCCATGGCCGCCGCCGCTCCGGCCGTCCAGATCGCCGGCAGGGCCAACGACCTCTTCACCCTAGTCAGTACTGACGGTGCTCTTATTTATTTTAGCAGCTGGTTGATAATGATAAACTAAAATTTAAGAGATGGTATACTAATTCCGATTCGCGCGCACTGTGCGTGTGTTTATCTGTGTGATGTGATCAGGTTATGACTGACCCCGATGCTCCGAGCCCCAGCGAGCCAACGATGAGGGAGTTGATCCACTGGTAACTTCTTGCTTGCTTGTCATGGTACTGCATTCTACTTTTTGTAGCTAATTTTTCCGTCTACTTTTGGGGATCGACCTCCTGCGTGCAAATTAAAGGCTGGTGGTTAACATACCAGGTGGAGCAGATCCTTGTCAAGGTAAACAACATATGCACGAAAACGGCTGCTGGCATGCTTACAGCTTACTTGTGTGTGTACATCTATGTGTCACGTCAGTTGCTTGCTTAATCTTTGATTGATTCAAAGTAGTACAAGTATTAGAAGTCGATTGGGCTGTGTCTAGAGAAAGCTGCAGGGACATTTTGCGGCGATCCATCGAATGTACTCCTACATAGCTGCAGGCCGGTCGACAGTAGTAGGTGCGAGGTGGCGGCCGAAACCTGTCCCGCCCCGGAAGTAGTAGGTGCGAGGTGGCGGTCGTGGCGGCCGCGGCGGGGGCCGGGACCCTCCGTCGGCACACGTTACCTGCTGGCCTCCTCTCCACTCCACTGTGCACGATGCCGCCCACGACGCGTGTCGACCGCGGCTCCGCACCTCGTCATCCTCAGCAGCCTTTCACAACAGGGCACCAGTCGGTGTAAACACGCATGCTCAGTTGCTCACCTCACCCTAGCTATCTAGCGTCCTTTTGGCCGGTACCTGTTCATCATCTCATTAAAGACTGACAAATCAGCTACCATCTCGTCGGAGCTCACTTAATTCTGTGCTTCATGCATGTCAGTGATCACTTGGCGTCAGTAGTCATGCTTTAGTACTCGATAGTAGATTTTTTTTTCCTTTTTGTGAGTATTTTTTTATTAATTTCGTCATCCCTTTTAATGAATTACGATGTATTGGCAATTTTTTTTTTGTAATGGAGCTTATTATGGCACTTCCTTTTAGAATCAATAGCGAACGTGGAATTCACGCTTTTGTCAAAAGATCGAGTGCGTGAAGCTGCCTTGGTTTTTTTTAAACAAAAAGAAAAAAGAAGCTGTCTTTGATAGCGATATTTTCGTAAAGTTCCATGTTTCCCTGATTGGTAGCTCCACGAGTCTACACGTGTAAGCAGCACGCACTCTTGTATTTGGTCGTTGCTGACGCGCTCTTCCGCATTATGTGCAGGTGAGACGGTGATGCCGTACCTGGGCCCGTGCCCGCCGGTGGGCATCCACCGCTACGTTCTGGTGGTGTACCAGCAGAAGGCCCGCTTCATGGCTCCGCCGGCGCTGGCACCGGGGGTGGAGGTGGAGGCGTCGCGCGCACGGTTCAGGAACCGCGCCTTCGCCGACCGCCATGACCTAGGCCTCCCCGTCGCCGCCATGTACTTCAACGCGCAGAAGGAGGTAGCCAACCGCCACCGCCACGACTGAGGCTGAGGCCGCCCCGCTGGCTGATCCAACAGCAGTTAACCAAAGACCCTGATCGCTTTATTTATAATCTGTACTTTTCAGTTTTTTTTTTCAACCGGAACAATATTTTTCTTTTACAACAAATCAACCGAAACAGTATTTTGGCTTGTTTTTTCAGCGAAGCGAACGGAACCCTGTGTTTAGTTTCTCCTCCTAAACTTTAGTTATTGTCCCATAAGATGTTTGACATATGCATAGAGTATTAAATATAGACTAATTACGAAACTAATTACACAGCTTGCTACTAATTTGCGAAACAAATCTTTTAAACCTAATTAGTCCATGATTTGACAATGTAGTGCTACAGTAACACGTGCTAATGACAGGTTAATTAGGCTTAATAAATTCGTCTCGTGGAGTACTGACGGGCTGTAATTTATTTTTTTATTAGTATCCGAATACCCCATGCAACACTTTCACGTAACACCTTCTAAATTTTAGTCACCAAATCCAAACAACCCCTGCCATCAGCGTCCGATCAGGAAGAAGACAAGTCTCCTAGTCGTTGTTGTCACCTAGTAGTACCTTTAATTAAGCCGGCGTATGCGTGTGATTGGGACTTGTCTCTCTTTATTATTCAATATACCCTCTCAGCTTGTGGTGTTTAATTATTTTATTTATTAGTTATATCAAGGTGTCATCAAGTCACTAGCCTACATACATTTTTTTCCTATTTATATTCTTTTCTAATTATCAATTTGTTTAAAAAATCCTTTTGTTTTTTAATAAAATAAAAAAAATTCATTTTCAAGTTGATGGTGTCTTTATTCATAAAAACAATTTTTATCCAAATACAAAAATCGGCCCTCCAACAACTCTGGATTATCACTCCCTCAACATCTACCATGCATAAAACCTCCCATGTGCTTCTTGATATCCGTTGAGTATGTGCGCTGTCATTCGTGAGTAGGTTGGTCCTGGCCAACGATAGACCATTGTTCTTGGATGGTTGTTGTAGGCCAAAGGCTGGCTGCAACTAATTGGATAGTGTTGGCCATGACTGGCTATTGCTGGCTAGAGATTGGCTACAAACTAACTGGATCGTGTTAGCCTTGTCTGGCTGCAACTAACTGGATCGTGTTAGCCTTGGCTGGCTGTTGTTGGCCGAGGGCTGGCCGCAACTAACTAGATCGTGTTGGCCTTGGCTGACTGTTGCTGGCCAGAGGCTAGCTGCAACTAACTAGAACGTGTTGGCCTTGGCTGACTATTGCTGGTCAAAGGCTCGCTGCAACTAACTGGATCGTGTTGACATTGGCTAGATGTGGCTAGCCGGTGGCTGGCTACTAGCTGGATCGGCCAAACCAGCTTAGTTAGTTTTATCGCATTGAAAAAAATGGTAAAAGTAGTCGTGGGAGACTAAGAACTAATGGTATGGCACCCTTTGCTTTAACCTAAGTTTTATAGGAACACTTAAAGAAGGTGTTTTTTCTCTATATCCAATAGTGTTTGAGAGAGCTTCATAAATCATAATTTTTTGAGTGTTTTTTTGGAAACTCTAAGAGATACTAAAATACTTCTTCTCAACTAAAATTTTAATATAGTCATTTGATCATGCCATGGGACTCGGTATGGTAGACAAAGGCTATGAGATGTACAAATATTTTTTAAGTTTAATTCGAAGAGGTTAGATTTACAAAAGTACCTAAAAACATCTAAAAGTACAAAATCCACAGTGATGTACCTGTGGTTGCAACCCAAATTGCTAACATTTTGAGCATAGTATTGCCAAGTCTTATTTCAATGATTGACAATTAAATTAAGAATAGAGAAAAGAAAAGGCACAAAAAATAGTAACCTAGTCCAAAGTCAAAATCAGATGGAAGAAAAACTGAGGTTGCCCCGAACTTTGAAAGCTAACACCAACATAAGAGAATTTTTGGTAAGGTCTACAGTACAATTCTTACTTTTTTTGCGAATACTACAATGCTTAACAGGGCTAAGACAACGAAACACAAACTCTAATTTTTTTTACTTGGCTCGAGCCCAAGCTTGGCCTGAGCCTAACCCAATGCAACATGTGGAACAGTCATGGGTACAACTTTCTTCATTGAAAAAACCATTATTTTTTGGCCTGGCCTGGCACACGAAAAATGTCTAGATTTATGTGAGAGCATAAGTTATAAAATATATTAGACATACTATTCCATGTGTTTGCACCATATGTTTTCAATGAGTGGTCCTTGCCAAGGATGCGTCCTCTTTATCTTGTATTTTGTCCGTTGATCCTTTTTTTAGCACCACATCTCCAATGCACAAAGTCCATCCTGCCACACGCTGACTATGGTATCTTCTAAGCCCTTGCTGATAGTGCACCACTTGACCAGATACGTAGCCTTATCTCTCACCTCCTCCAAGAGGATTAAAATAATCTGCCTGATGTTCGGATAATCGGTTTGGTCACTAGTAAGCTAGATGTGTTCTCATTTTCCAATGGACCATAGAACCAGACATCAGAGCCGTAGAGGCAGCAGATAGGTCAAGGTCACCCGATCCTGGGTCCCAAGTTTTGGTAACAAATTCCATGTAGTCCCCATGACTTTTCCACATGTTTTCATAGTGGAAGGGCTTAGATTTCCAGCGACCACGCCTCCGACTCACCAGTACCCTCTCCTCACCTCCATCAACAGCCCACAGTGATCCGACTCTGCCAACGGGATATGGAACACCTCGGACTCACCCATCGCTGTAAAAAACTTGTCGTCTCCCAGCGCTCGGTCTAGCCAGACCTTGACATTCCGGCCCCCCTCCTGCCGATTGTCTATGGGAGACCATGGTAGCCGAGGTCAGATAACCGACAATCATTCACAGCATCTTAGAACGCAACCACTTTCCATGGTTCACGTTCCTTTCCACCAATTTGTTCCTCCGCCGACAACACCTCGTTGAAGTCCCCTACGCACAGCCAAGGGTGAGTTGACTGCGCTCTTAGGAACCTCATCAGGTACCAACTTTCTTTGCACCTCTCCCTCCTAGGCTCCCCATAGAAGACCGTTAGCCGCAACTGTGAGATCCTCAAGCTATCACATGACATATGAACATCAATATGTGACCTTGATTTGCACAACTCCACGACCACCACATCCCCAACGCCAAAGTAGCATCAGGCCTCCACTCAGCCCCTCTGACTTGACAATTATGGTGTTAGGAAAGCCAAGGTTCTGTTCCAAACCAAGGGAACACTCTTCTCCCATCCTTGTCTCCATCAAGAACACCACCACGGGCCTTTTCTCCTCCACCAACTGGCGGAGTCCGCAGCCCCGGCCGTTCACACTTAGGAGATTCATTGTGCCCGGCCGGGGCTGTCCATCGCAGCCGCTGCCGATCTTGCATTTTGGTTGGTACCTCTCCTTTGCTTCTTCATCCCGCCACTGTCCGCACTGGTGTCCAATTGATTCACTCTTGAAGTCACCAAGCTAGCCGAGATAATGGCATTAACCCATCGACCGGGATGTTCAGGTCCGGCGTCTGGGTGGTCGGGGTGGCCCCCTTCAACTTGCGCTTCCGAGGGAGCGTTTGTTGGTCCCCCTCATCTTGCAAGTCCAGCTTCCTACTTGCCCCGGAGCCACGCACTGCCTCCCCCGGGGGAGCAGTCTCCCCCGGATGCTTGAGAGGGGACTAGACCTCTGGGTCATCTGAATCACCAACAACACTTGCCGAATAGCGTGACCCATCATCATTCTTCGAGTATCGGTTATCATCCGACCTGCTATGTTGCTTCTGAGCCCTGAAAGTCGATGAGGAACCACTGCCAAAAGGCTCTGCAGCAGCTCCCGCAAAGGTCTGTAAACGTCTCCTTCGATCTTTAGAAGCCCGGAGTTGAACACCATACGGTAGCTTCCCATACTCATCACGCGCCACCGGAGTTAGGCATTCCACCTCTGAGTGGCCGATCAAGCCACACACAAAATAGTAGTAGTGTAGCCTCTCATATTGCACCTAAAACCAGTGCGGTTCCTCCGTTTTGCTCATCCGGAGAAGCACCCCACGCCTCACAGGCTTGTCGATCTTCATGGCCACATGGGCACGCAAGTAAGCCCGCTGGCCTTCCCATCCGCATCCACATCCATCTTGATCACACTCCCAATCAAACCCATGGCCCGAGAACCTCTCGTCTAGTTCATCCAGCCCAAGGATAGATTGAGGATACGTACCCAAAGTTCTAGGTGATCAAAGACAATCTCGGACGCGCTGAGCTTTTCATCATAATTCTACAGCAGAATTGCATATCTCCCCACCATCCATGGCGACCAGATAACACCCTCTCCAGATCACCAGCACATCCAAATTCTGCGACAAAAAGGTTATCTCCCTTTTCCTCGATCGGCCGAAACTTGAGACCAATCGGGTTTCCCCAGGCAGGCTCCATTGCCGAACGCACAATATTGACATGTACCAGCGCCGACGAGAGCACCTTCCCTACTAGTGCCCATGAAAGGATCAAGATACCCAAGAGGAGGGTGAATTGGGCTAATTCTAAAATTCTTTGCAATAATTAAACCCTACACTTAGCCCACTTCACCCCTTGTGCCTAGAAAGTGTTTCTAATGTTCTACCGCACAAAAGTTTTGCACCCTAAGTTCCAAACCTACTCTAGCATGGCAATTCTGTGAATGTAATGACAAGAATTGAATTGCTCAAAGTAAATGATCAAAGTAAAGAGAGAAGGAACGCGGTGATGTTTTACCGAGGTATCGGAGAGTCACCACTCCCCACTAGTCCTCGTTGGAGCACCCGCGTAAGGGTGTAGCTCCCCCTTGATCCGTGTAAGGATTAAGTGCTCTCTACGGGTTGATTCTTCGACACTCCATCGCGGTGAATCACCCACAACCGCTCACAACTTGAGTTGGGTCATCCACAAGTTCCACCGGATGATCACCAAACTCCCAATCACCACCAAGCCATCTAAGTGATGGCGATCACCAAGAGTAACAAGCAAGAACTCTCACTTGACCACAACAAGC